TATGTGTGTGTGTGTGTGTTGTATATGTATATGTATATGTATATATATATATATATATATATATATATGTATATATCATACCTTTTTGTGACCATATACAGGGGTTTACATTTGCACCATACATATATATAGTTTGCACTATACATTTAAATATATATATATATATATATGTGTGTGTGTGTGTTCGTGTTCGTGTTCGTGTTCGTGTGTTTCGCTGCTTGGGCTCATGCACTCGACACCAACGACTTCTCTACACGCCACTCCCTCTCCCTCTCCCTCCCTCTTCGCCGCTTCTACTCGCAATACTCCCATCTGATTGGCTAGCCTTCCTTTCCACTAATCAAATCCCTCCAAATTCACAGGCTGAGCTCATCAACACGTGCATTGCGTGCAACCAGGCGTGCCTTGATCACACCTTCAGTGCCAAGCCTATATCGTGTCTTGTCAATCCTCGCGCCGGCTTTGAGACCGAACTGAACTACGGCCCCACCGATCCAGGTGTGTACGTGTGTGTGGGTGTGTGGGTGGGTGTGTATGAGTTAAATATACGTGACGAGATTAGATATGTATAGAGTGATCCAGGTGTCTATGTGGGAGTGGGTGTTGGAAGGGGCGGGGGGTATATACGTGACGAGATTGGATATGTGTAGAGTTTTCCAGGTGTATGTGTTGGGGGTGGGGGCTATATATTCGTGACGTATGAGTATGAATAGTGTGGTTCAGGTGTGTATGTGTGTGTGTGTGTGTGTGTGGATGAGTGGGTGGGTGGATGGGTTATATATACGTACCGAGATTGTATATGTAGAGAGTGATCCAGGTGTGTGTGTGCGTTATATATACGTGACGCTTGTGGGTATGAATACGGTCCCATAAACATACCTTTTAAGTGCAGGTTCGTTGTATCGATGTATGTCCCATGTGGGAGTCATCTCTCGGAATGCATTCATGCGGATGAATGTTAATTTCCCATCATGTGATCAGTCACGCACAGGTGCATATGTATTTGGTCTTGCTTAGTTATGTGTGCCTATATATCTGGATCAGTCACGCACAGGTGCATATGTTGTTGGTCGTGCTTAGTTATGGGTGCCTATATATCTGGATCAGTCACGCACAGGTGCATATGTATTTGGTTGTGCTTAGTTATGTGTGCCTATATATCTGGATCAGTCACGCACAGGTGCATATGTATTTAGTCTTGCTTAGTTATATGTGCCTATATAGCTGGATCTGTCACGCACAGGTGCATATGTATTTGGTCGTGCTTAGTTATGTGTGCCTATATATCTGGATCAGTCACGCACAGGTGCATATGTATTTGGTCGTACTTAATTATGTGTGCCTATATTTTGGGTATCCTTCATCCGCACTGTCTCATACACCCTCATACTTTATCTTATCTTCATATACACCCTCATACTTTATCTTACGTTTTCATATACACCCTCATACTTTATCTTACGTTTTCATATACACCCTCATACTCTATCTTACGTTTTCATATACACTCTCATACTTTATCTTACGTATTCATATACACCCTCATACTTTATCTTACGTGTTCAGATACCATCCATATAGCCTCTGCACCATACTTTCCCAACGACCCTTTCCCCTACGCCATTTGTTTCCCATGCTCACCGTTTGATACATCTGTAGTACCTACATTACCAAGAGATACTTTCCATCCTCTCTCTCCCTCTCTGTCTCTTTGTGTGTGTGTGTGTATTGGGTATTAAGACAAAAATGTCCTAAACGCTTAAAACAGCCCAGAAACTACGCATTGCTGTGGTTGGGGCAGGGCCAGCTGGTCTGGCATTCAGTACAACGGCAGCGGAACGGGGCCATGACGTCACACTCATGGACAGCGCGAAGGAAATTGGCGGACAGTTCAACATGGCGAAGATTATTCCGGGCAAGGAGGAGTTCTT